TTTCTCAGCTCAATTTCTGACCACATATGTAAGTGGACAGACTTCACAGATTACAATGACTGGGAATGCAGCCTTTACAAACTGTACGGAAAATTCACTGAACAAATGAAAAATTATGCCCCTCCAGCAGGAAACATCATCAACTAAGAGACTGTGTCTAATCTGGTTTTTAAAGTTGAAACATTAGAATATTCAAAATGTCCAGAATTCAACAAAATATTTCTAATCTTACCAAGGAATAAGGAAGTGTAACACATTCATGGTGGGGAAATCATCTGAAAATTTCCTAAGCATAGCATATCTGAGGGAGGGTGAAAAAAATACATTAACCTTGTTAATATGCTCATGGTGATCAAGAAATTCATGGAAAAAGATCTATAGAATATTAGGAAAATTATGTCTGTATAAGCAAGACATTAAAAATACATATTAATAAAGAGCCAAACATTCTGGAACAGAAAAGATGAAGAACTAAAACCAAAGCTTCTTCATGGGTGTTCAATAGTTGCTTTGAGCAGACCAAAGAATAATCAATTTACTGAAGAGACATTAATTGAAATCCCACTATATGAAGAGAAAAAATAATTAATTAATAAAACTAACAACATATGAGAGATCTATGGGCAACCTTAAACAAAGCAATAGATGCATTGTGTGTGTCTCACAAGAAAAAAGATGAAGGTGAAGAAATATCTTGTGAAATAATAAGTATAAGTGCAAACATGAGAAAAGATCTGCATCTTTTTCAAGGAGCTCAATGAGGTGAAATCAGAGTTTGAGAGTGATGTATTTTATGACAACTATCATAAGTCAAGTATGAGAACAAAACACTGAGAAGAGCGAGAGAGAAGAAACTCTTTACACTCAGTGATTCTTAGTAATATTAATATTTGACTTCTCATCTGAACCAATTCAGGCCACAAGGTAGGGATAAAATATCAACTGATGAAAGAAAAGTGTTTTTTTCTTTCAAGAATTATATACCTGGGCCTGAGGTAGTGGCTCAATGGTAAAGTGCTTGCCTGGCATGTGTGAGACACTGGATTTGATTCTCAGCACCACATATAAAGAAATAAAATAAAGGTCCATTTACATTTAAAAAGATTTTTTTAAAAAGAATTATATGCCATGCAAAACTATTCTTCTAAATTAGAAATGTTATTATGGTTTGGATCTTCCTTGTTTCCCAAAATGTTCAAGTGTTTAAAGCAAGCTCCCCAAGCGAGAAAAGTTTTGGTTTTTTTTAAGTGCATACTTTTTATTTTTATTGTTTTAGTATCATACTTCTTTATAACAAATCTCACAATTTGCATGCTTTTTGTTTTATCACAAGGGAAGATGACTACAAATATGACACATATCCTAACATAAATTTAAATATTAAATACAAAAATATCTTAAAATATAGTTATGTAAAATCCAACTTTAAAAAAATTAATTGCTTTTATTTTTTAAATACATGACAGTGGAATGCATCAAAATTCTTATTACACATATAGAACACAGTTTTTCATATCTCTGTATATAAAGTATGTTCACACCAACATTTTTAATATAACTCTCATACATAAATACAGCTTCAAATATTTATTATATATGGAAAAGTTCAGTTTTATAGAAAATATTAAAATGGATAAAAATATGAATATACTTATTCAAAGAAATTCAAATTACTAGTAGAATATTAATTATCTTTTTTTATTTTTTATTTAAATTTGTTATATGACAGCTGAATGCATCACAATTCATATTACACATAGAGAGCACAATTTTTCATATCTCTTATTATACACAAAGTAGAGTCACACCATTCATGTCTTCATAAATATACTTTTAGTACATTTTTTAAACTATAATTTGTTATATGTGACAGCAGAATGCATTACAATTCATATTACACATATAGAGCATAAGTTTTCATATCTCTGGTTGAATAAAGTATGTTCACACCATTTGTGTCTTCATAAATTTACTTAGGGTAATGATGTCCACCTCATTCCACTGTCTTTCCTATCTCTGTATCCCTTCATTTCCCCTCCCTCCCCTTCGCCCTCTCTATTGTTAGAGAGGTGGAGTATTTATGAAATTATTTGATAATGAGGGCTCTGATGTCCTCAATGGATTAATCCATTAATGGATTACTGGGAGGTAGGACATACATGGGGAAAGTAAATCAATGGGGGGATGCTTTAGAAGGATTTATCTTCTCCCTGGCTACTGCACACGCACCTCTCCTCCTTCTCTTCCTCTTCCTATTCCTTCTCCTCTCCCTTCGCCTCCTCTTCTTTTTCTTCTTCTTCCTTTTTTTCTTCTATTCCTGTCTCTTTCTCTCTTTCTCACTCCCAGATTCCATAAGCTGATCAACTTCCCTCCATGAAGCCCTTCTATCGTGAGTTTTCTGCAATTGAGTCAGCAGATCATAGTGACCTAAGAAACTGTGAGTCAAAATAAATATGTCATCCTCAAAGTTGTTCTTATCAGTATTTGGTCAGGGTGATGAAAAGATGACTAATGAAAATGGGATAGTCATAGAGCACATTATTTGTTCTGGTAGTCTTGCCCACGATGTCATCCTAAGGGCAGTTCTAAGACTAGACAGGGTCAAGAGATGGTAGCTGGAGGATCTGAAGAATCCAAGATCTCTGTAAAGCTAACTACATAGGTGAACATAAATACTAGTACATGTGTAGTATTGTAATAATATTCTGTATTATTTTATTGCATGAATGAAAATATGAAAAAAGACACATTTTGAATTGATAATACAAATGGGAACAAAATGCACACAAATCAAGGAGAATGAATAGCTAAGGGTATGTGGAAAGGTAATATATGCTGATGTTCTCAGTGAAGTTTATCAGTGTCAGAGTTTTGCACATGACTGAGCCCTTGATGATGATCATATGCTGATGGAACTACTTAAGTATCAATTCAAACTATATTGTTATTTAAGTAAGTCAGTATGTGTCATACACATATAGTAGCCACTCTGAAAATATAGGTAAAAGGACATGAAGAGGTAACCAAAATGGTACTTCAAAATGGTACTGGGAAATAATTAACCAATCACAATGGAAACCAGTAGTAGAACAGTAAAGAACAACAACAACAACAACAACAACAACAAAAATATATAAGTTACATGTAGAAAACTAACAGCACATTTTCAGAAGTATTCCATTATCATTAATAACACCAAATAAAAATATGAGACTTGGTTACTCAACACATAAGAAGCCTGTGTCCCCTTATGGTTTAACACATTTTCTCTGTTGTACTTTTGGAGAAAGGCCATAGATGATTTGACCATCTTCTAACAAAAACAAAACACCTGGTCACAAGACCTGGGACTGAAATGACTCCCCATTCTGAGAGTTATAGGGCAGGGTGGCATGAGTAGTAGTCACAGAAGTGAGGCTGGACACAGGCTCTTTGGTAACAAAGGCTTTGAATTCACCAAGGAGACAGAGGCTCTTGCTCTGGGAATACTCAACCAGCAGGGGGCAGCAGAGCAGTAGTCAGAAGCAGACAGCACACAGGCCGCTGAATAGGCTTAGTCCAAGAGTGAAGCCAGCTCTGCATGTTGCTCATCTCTGCAACCTAACAGGAGTCCAATTTCAGTCAGAAGAGTCCAAACTATGCTCTGGGCTGCAGTGAGCACATTATTAGGGTCAGGCTAACACAGGGTCACAACAGGACACTGTCAAGAGTCCAGGCACAAAGAGGACCTCAGCTGGGAAACGCTTAGGAGGAGCCTTGTCATATCTGTCAGCATGGGCAGTCCTTGCTGGGTAAAACTCACTGGAGGGACCTAGCTGAGGTCCAGGAGCTCTAGAATGGAGCACAGCACGAGAAGATGAGTTTACAATATGTGTCATTTTCTCAGCATGAATGCATACACCTCCTCCTAACCTCAGGGCACCATTTATCACTGTCCAGAAATCATCCCAGGGATGAAGACACTTTGAAACATTTCTATACACTTCCCCCTGGATTTTTCTCCACCTCCAGGCATATCTTGCCTCAGGCTGTGACTCCTATGCTCAGGTGTAATCTTTGATGAGGGAAGAGGGCATTTGGTCCCTGTCCCTGGATGGAGTATGCATAGGCTCCTTAAGGAGACTCTCAGAGTGACACTGACCTTTCATCTGCCTCACATCACATGAACCTTGAATTAACCTTGGTTCAGTGACAGGATCCTCTTGATTGAGGGATCCTTGACAACCCACACTCCAGAGCTCAGCCATGACACTGATGAACTTCACAGAGAACATGGGGCCTAAAGTTGTTTTCTCCATCAAGTTTGGATTATGACAATTTTAAACATATTACATAAAACATGGATGATTAAAAAATAGCATAAATTTGACTATTGCTAGTATATTGTGTAATGAAGGATGCTAAAAAGTGTTTTTGAAGTCAGAAAATGTAGAAAACAAATAAAAGAAGGTGGTTCATTAAATGAACAAGGTATAATGTGTGACATAATTAAAAGCATCTCAACAACCAGAAAAACATTAAACAAAATACCAAAGATGAAAATAAAGTGCATCTGGGAAACCATGAGAGCAGAATGAGGAAGGTGAGGGTCCATTGTCCACCACAGTTGGGCCCAGCTCAGCCCTTGGCCAGGCTCCTGCAAGGTTAACAGCCCTGTTAAAATAGAGCTGGGGAGAACAGCCCAGAAGAATTGAAACACTGGTTAATGGTTAAATTCCCTGAAAATGACATTAATCAGAGGTCATGGAAATCAAGGCTTATTTTTTTTTCCTCAAAGTAGCTTGGAGTAAGTTGAATGCAATTTTACAATCTCTTCTTCTTCACCAATTTTACAGTCTCTTCTTCTGTACCCAAAGCTGGTTTTAGTGACTTCTCATAATTGGTGGTTACAGAGGATGGAAAATTTGCATGATCACTAGACATGCATTTACATAAAAATATTGAAAGGAATAAGAGAGGTGCTGGAGAACCCAGCTGTGCCGTGCATATCAGGACGAAGAGTTTTGGTGTGTCTCCACCATGAACTGCATACCTCTACTATTCCCACTCCTCTTGCTCTACACAGGTGATCTCTTGTGCCCTGTCCCAGACTTTATCTATGGGGTTACCACAGGGTCATTAGTTGGACCTTCCCCAAACTCTAAGCTCATGTGAGACATATATTTATTGGATCCCCTGGGTATGGGTCCTTCATCTCTCTCTCTCTCCTTTTGCAGGCTCTGTGGTCTCCTATGAGCTGACTCAGCCACCCTCAGTCTCAGTAGCCCCAGGACAGACAGCCACAATCACCTGCTCTGGAGATGCATTGCCTAAAAAATATGCACACTGGTTCCAGCAGCAGCACCCAGGACAGAGCCCTCTCCGGGTAATATACGAGGATACTAAGCGACCCTCAGGGATCCCGGAGAGATTCTCTGGGTCCAGTTCAGGGACAACAGCCACCCTGACCATCACCAGAACTCAGACTGAAGATGAGGCTGTCTATTACTGTTTATCATCATATGATGATAGCGGTAATGAAGTTCCCACAGTGACAGAGGCAGATAGGGAAGTGAGACACAAACCTGTACCCTATCAGTGTCACACTTCTTTCCAGATTCAGGAGACTGCAAACAGAGCCTTGAGTAGAACTGGCTCAGATCATCCTGAGATGAGGCCACTATTCTGCCTTTTCTTCCCAGTCCTACAGCCAGGATCAACACAGGATAGGTCAGGGATGATTTTAAGGCCATTGAGACAAATTTTCATGGTGTTTTCTGAACCAGGCAGTGAGGAAAAAAAGCAAAAATGAATGGAAATATAGATAGGAAGAGACAACCCTCCATGTCATCATCTCTGTATTTCTATATCATAGTGCCTGGACCTCTCCAAGGCTCCAATATTCCAGATTTCTAGCCCCTTGAGTTGCTCAACACTTGTCAGTCCCTGAAACCCCAGGTTCTCATGACAACATTCATGCTGAACACAGAAGACCAGTATAATGTACAAAAAGAGATTGGCCTTTATTTCCTCAGAGCTCACCCACCCATCCATAGAACCTTGGATTTCTCACAGTACATACATGCCCTCACTGCAAAGAGATGTTGGTTGCAGAAAACTGCTTCTCCAGATTCACATCTTTCTCAGTTTAATGTCTGTTCAGTTTAATGTCTGTTTGAGGCCATGTCCTCTGAGCCCTTCCCCATTTTAGCTACTCTGCAGGTCATCCAGCTCTAAAACAATCTTTTGGGATGCTGAATGATGAACTGTCCCCTCATGGGGTCACTGTCTCTTTCAGGATTGTACTGTCCCCCCTATCTGATTTCAAGGCAGCCTGAGTATCATTCTCCACCTCAGAGTCTGCACCAGGACATCTGATCAATGAACTGCAGGTCAGGTGTTCCCACTATGAATATTCAGGGACTATACTGGTTTGGATATGTGGTCTCCCAAAAAAGTTTGTATGTGACAAAGTGCAAGAATGTTTAGAAGTGAAATGATTAGGTTACAAAGTGTAAACTAATCAATGGCTTAATCCACTGATACGGGTGATAATTGTAGGCAGGTAGGTGGTGACTGAATGAGTTAATCACTGGAGGTATATCTGTGTGTTTTATATCTTGTTCCTTGTGAGTAATGCTCTCTCCACTTCCTGATTGCCATCACTTTAGATGCTCTCCTCCTCTGTCTTTCTCCAAGATATTCTGCCTCACCTTGGGCCTGGATCAATGGAGCTGTCTATCCACAGACTGACCTCTAAAATCATGCACCAAAAATATTCTCCTCTAAATAGTTCTTATGGGGTCTTTTGGTTACAGCACCAAAATAGTTGATGAAAACAGTGACCACAGAAGTCATTCTGTACCCAAAAAGCTGCTGTCTCCTGCTAAATTCCCACTGTAAATGTTCTAATGCCCCATCTAATATCAATTTTTTCTTGCTTTTTAAAAAAATGACATCTTAAGAATTCTGGATTATGGAAGATTTGAAGTATCAGACCCATACTGGAAGTGAATCCAAGGATATGTAGATGACTAGAGCCCTCATGTCTACATAGTGAGCCAATAGATATCCAACTACAGGTGTGAGTTACAGAATCAAAGTCCTTCATTTCTAACCTCCATACCTTGTACAACAAAAGTTATTCTTGATACTATCCCAACCAGAAATATACATTTGAGTAATTCTGAGAAATATATGTAAACCTATCAAAGTTGGAACTAAAAAGCTACCACATCCCACCTATGTAAACCAGAAACTCATTCCAATTTCCATGATCACACCAACTCAAAAGAAAGACAATTACGGTAACAATGCTACCCTTAACATGACAAAATTACCCGATAAGGAAAAAATTTAAAAATGACAATCTTTTGCCTTCAAGAATATACAATATACTTTTTATCCTCAAGTATGTTAATTTTTTCTCAATATTTGGTATTGTTACATAAATACTGAGATATAAAGTGAATGTTTTATAATACATTTTACATTGGACTTCACTTGGTAAGGAAAAGATATTCAAATACAATCACATTAAAATACAAAAAAAAATGTTTTTCCATGTAATTCTATTTCTTGTGGCCATCATTGTTATATTCTTCACTCCACACTTCATATTCCCCTTTTCACCAAAAAATGCCTTAACTAGTGTTTATTAATTTCTCACTAGTCTTGCCAAGTGTGATGGTGCAAATCTTCATTGCAGACACTACTGGTCCATCAATAGTCCTTTTGAATTGGTTTGTGCTGTATTTCTGTAAATACAGACCAAGGAAATATTAAGAGAATAATCTCCATTCCATCCAGGTGCCTTCTTACTTCAAGTCTTCAGTGACAACCTACTGTCCTGATTATCAAGACTAATCATGATCCAATAGCCCCCCTAATAATTTCCTGTTAATAGTAGTTCAAGGGACTTTACACCCAAGTTAATGAAATCATTCTTGTGTCTCCTGTGGAAGCAGATCCCTTGACTCTCAATTCTACGTCCTGATTCTTTTCCCAGGAACATGGCTACACAACAAATAGTATCTTTTATTGGATGTGGACATAGTCAGTCAACTGGATTTATCACTGAGTTCTCAATAATTATTCAACCTTTCCATTAAGCTTGGTATTTTAGGATGCAGGGGACAATCAAACAAGTAACTAATGACAGGAACATGGCCCCATTGTTTCCCTTTATTGGCTGTGACATAAATGTTGTGCTCAGAAGCCCCATGTTGAATACCATGTCAGTGATTTTCGTGTTTCCTAAGTCCATGGATAGCAGTTTAGCAAAAGAATTACAGACAAGGAGAACAAGCTTTCTCTTGAGTAAATGCCTATTTCAGTAAGAACTAGTGTTGGTCTGCCATGATGAAAGATCTAATGTCTTCAAGCTGCCCTCTGGTGCCTAAAGCTGTTTCCCAAAGGGAGTAATCTCATTTTATGCACTCAGGGTTGGTTTTGATGTTTTGAAATGGAACAGAGACTATATAGCCCAGTCACATTCATGAGTGAAAATCCATGTTAATGACCCCACGAATAATCTCCATCCATGCCATCATGGACACGTTGAAAATGAGCTCTTTGGGGAAAAATATGCATGTCTAGGGAAGGAAGCTAACTGACAGCCACAGAATGAGGCAAGAATCTTCTGATCACTAGAATCATTTCCTTCACAGATTACTTACTCTTTGGTGAGCATGGCATCACATGGTACCAAATAGTTTCATGACTTTGCAACACACTGAGTATGATAGAACTGTTTTATTATAGTAAAAAAAGTGGTGATAGATACAGTCAGGTAAAATCAATATTGCATTTCTTTGAACATAAATGTGAATAATAGCAGAAAGTTGTAACTTTAAACACCCAAAACATTATTTTGATTCATACACCCCAAAATCACATTATTTAGATTTATAAATATTGGGATAGTATATTATTTCATTCATGGACTTTCATAGAATACTTGGTAAAACAGTGTACACTTTAACATTATTTTTCTTCAGAATCAAAATAATTCTAGTAAACATGAACCAGCTTAACATATGTAGCTGCAAATATCAGAGGATAAATATTATTTTTCTAATAACTAAATGTTTATAATATTATCAAGCATGCTTCAGTCAAGTTGGTTATGTAAATCTATCTTAATAAATGTAAATGATAAAGTGAAAAGAAAGATCAAATATGTCTGAGAAAACATTAGTGTCCAAATTGACATGTGATGTAAATATATAATACATATTTTATTTTAAAGAAATGACATGAGAAAAAGAATGTAAAAATAGATCTTAAATAGCTTTTTTCATCAATTCCTTGTGAAATTGATGCTATTTTGATATACTGTGTGATATATATTATTAAAACAATTATGTATCCCTTTATAATTTTAATGTGATTAGTAGACTCAAATGCATAAGAAACCTTCATTAATGATTACACCTATTATTAGAGGCTGCTGGTCTGGATATCTCATGTGTCAGGCTCTTCAACATCATCTGGGACCTGAAGCCACTTCTCCACCCATAGGAAATAGGTGTGAATCCAGAGAGAGTCTCTTGTACTGGAAAGTCAGAGACGTGGGGAATCAAAAAAACTGCCCATGAGACTAACCTTAGCTTATGCTCCATCTCAGATGAAAAATATCCACCAAGAAATTGTCACTTCTTGTTTTACCTGACCTCATGACTGATGGACTTCAAAGTTCCGGCCTTGTGTTTTAGTGATTCCTCATGTTGTCTGTACCCATCAGAACCTGGGTTTATATCATGAGCTGTTTCACAAATGGTATGTAATTCTCTATATCACGTGATAAAGACTGTTCCTTAAACCTCTGGTCTACAACTGGGATTCTCCTAAGGGTCTTCATATAAACACCAGCTTTTTTTGGTATCACTAATTTCTTATTGTTATAGATCTAGGGCATAAATTTGTCCATACAGCTGCACCACTGGCACCACTGTTTTGGCCCAGTGCATTTTCACACTGGAATGCTTTAATCTATTTGGCAATTTTTACTGTTTCTCAAATATAAGTCGAACAACATCCCCAAACTTGAAATATCCTAGTTCTTGAAATCAGAGTGGCCCTATAAACTTTGTGCTTCTTTTCTGATAGTGTGGGTAGTTTGAGATGAAACAATTATTCATTATTTTGTGAGAGATGACTCAAGTAACTTCAAACAACTAAACCCTAAATATTTCAGCAAATAGTGTGGAAAAAAACTTCTTAAGATTTCATGCATACTCGGAAATGCCTCTGTCTCTACAAACCATTCCATATACTTGCCACTTCATGCACATTTTCATCCAATTTCCATGACAACATACATTTCTAGGAAATTCTCCAGGATTTCCAAGATAGTCAAGCCAGCATAGACTGAGTTATGATAGGAAAGGGTAAAGCAATGCAGTTCAAGAAACTAAATGAAGACATATACCTTTGTCTATTCCATGTGAATGTATGTAGTTTCTGATCCTCTTCTGTGAGAGAAATAGAGAATAACTCCACTTCAGCACCAATGGTGCATATCATAAACCTGTACAAATGTTATTCTGTTTTAGTAGATACCATAGCCAG